CGAGCTTTTTTACCTGTATTGTACTCATAATCATTCAAAGTGCTTTTAACAATGATCTTTTTTAAGCTACGTTATCGGTTAAACAGTTAGACTCGAGTACAAATTACTTTTGCATGCTGAGTCTTTGTAGAGCAACTTTTTTGTTGCCAAGTTTGGGGAAAAAAACAACAATATTGATGCCAACACTGGTATTGGTTTTGGACTGATACTAGTGTGATTGGATCGATAGGATAAGATACCGTTATAGGTTTAGTATCGGCCCCAGTGTTTACTTGGTATCCAAATATTGCAGCACTACTCCCGGAGCAGCATAAACCGGATCTAGCTAGAATACAAAGTGAAGTGGGTGGCCTTATTACGTAAATGAGCAAAAAGACAGGTACATCATTATCACTACATTAAGAAACATATGCCACAGAGCCCAGGAGTCTGACAGCTTCATTAAACAGTATCTGCAAAACACCAGCCTGAATTAATGTCAGCACTAAAAATGTGACTGTATTAAGGGGAGGGAATGAGTCAATACAGCATACTACTGCAATATTATATCAATACAGGGACACCAAGAGGGCTCATCTCATGCACCACCATCCTGATATAATTTTAACCAAGTACAGTTTCATTAAATCAGCTCACCTGAAAAACCACCCAACAGTGCACACACTTAGCTCAACAAAGTATCTGATAATTCAGAGCAATCTAATATCACAGTCACAATGCTGTTGTTGTGTTGCACACACAATTACTTTTTATCTCAAGGCAATTTCACAGGCTGCCAAATAGGAGGCAACCGTTCTGCAAACAGTCACAGTCTGACTTGGGCTGGCTGCAATCACAGATTGTCAAAGGTTTGCCAATAATTGCTGCCTAATTTATAAATACAGCCAGATTTCCAAACATGTTACTGGTTATATTCTTGTAGAGCAGGAAGCTTGCTGAGTGCAAATGTAATAGTTAAATGTGAATTTCTCTTTAGACAGCAACACTTTATTATCAGAAACAGATTGCATGTAATTTCCAACTAGACCACATTTAATTTCAGACTGATCAAATTGATTCTGTTTTATGAAAAAAGAAAAATATCTGGGACCATATTTAATCAGTGTGAAGGAAGTGTGATGGTTTGGTGGTGCTTATGTGATTGTAAAAACAAGGAAATGCATCACTTCATTTTGAAAAGCCACTCGAAAATGCTGCTTGACTCTGGAGTAAATTTCCTCCCAAAACAGCACAATGATCTGGAGCCCAGCTCAAAACTACACAATCCCGCAATTCTATCCATAATCAATTGTTCGTCACAGCCACTGAAGGTCAACCTTACTCAGGTGTTTAGGTTTTATGAGTCACGTGACATTTTTTGAGTTTCCCCTCAAATGTCTCAGTGATAATGCACGTTGCTTAAATACACTTCCTAAATGAAACAATTTGGTCTCTTTATAAAGCACTGTATCAATGCTACTGTACTATATTTTATGTCAGCTATATGAGTTACATGGATGTTGGCTTGAGTATACTGGGAAGGACCAGTATTTTATGTCACTTTGCTGACCAAATACATTATGGCTTTGGAACATTCACCACTAAAAGCACCATATTTTTTGTGTTTGCATCATGTACATTGCTAAAGTAGTTTATGTTTAGTCACACTACCTTACAGAAAATTTGAGGTTCGGTTAACAGAGGATTAAAGAGCAGAGAGGATAATCGTATGTGGACATATGATTAGCAAATCTGAGAAAAACACCCAGGTCACCTTTTTATATTGTGTTGATTTCACTTGTAGTATCCTATAGTACAGCAGTTTCTCCTTTCCTTCCTTCTTACTTTGTATGACTCTCATTGCTCCGTACCATCTGTTAGGACATTTACCTTTGAAAAACAGTTTTTTTTATTATCTTGAAATTCTGATTGTCCCCCACGTCTTCAGATTTGCCTATCGGCCACAGCTTCCAAGACTTTCTCTTAGTGACACACAAATGGGAAATTACTAAAACGTAAAATATTCAATTCAATTCAATTTTATTTAAACAGCACCAAATCACAACAACAGTCACCTCAAGTCGCTTTATATTGTAAGTTAAAAACCCTACAATAATACATATAGAGAAAAAAACCCCTATGAGCAAGCACTCACAGTGGGAAGGAAAAACTCCCTTTTAACAGGAAGAAACCTCTGGTAGAACCAAGGGCAGAGGGCGGCCATCTGCTGCAACTTCTTTGGTTGAGAGAAGGAAGACAGGATAAAAGACATGCTGTGGAAGAGAGCCAATACGTGTGTTCTAGTTGTTATTTTTAGAAATCATCAGTTTATGGACTTTGATATGACAACAATGATATTTATTGTAATTCTTCTTTTATTTTGGTAAATACAGCAGATCACCTTTCTTGTTTCCATATAACAATAGCATGAATAAAAATCAAATAATCGAAAAGTGATACAGTCAGGATACGAAATTAACATTTTAATAAAGTAAACAAGATACATCCAGCATTAACTATTGGAAAATGTTGCACCAGCTGTGTCAGCTTGTCTGCTGTTGGCCCTGCTATGACACATCAGTTGATAAACAGGCACATGGACATCGCCTATCCAGTTTTTTCTACCTTACTGAACTGTCATGGTCTTCCTGGACAGAAGTGCTTGGACATAAGAATGCAGAGGTTCTGCCCACACTTCCAGCACTGTTGCTTGATATGTTGGGCGCCCTGCTGTGTCTTTCTCTTGCAAAGGGGACACACATCAGCAGAATCACCAGCTCCTCTTCCAGACTTTTTGGACGTTTTTGCAAGAAGCTCCTGAAGCTCTGTCCTTATGGTGGTATCTGGTGCATCTGCAATGCCCACCACAGTCACTCTTTTGGGATCAAACACACAATCTTCCTCCTTGCCGCTTTTCACAGCCATCATGCCACATTTGGGGGGCACCCAGGCAGTGTCGTAGCCATGTGTGTGCCATGTGAACTGCATAGGATGGTTGTCCTTGTCAATACGTTTGACGCGGCCAACGCGTACACGCAGCTCGAAGACCACACGGTCTGAAGAGCTGCTGTTCAATGGATAACATTGTGCCTTTTTCTTATCACGGCTGACGTACACACCCTTTCCTAACATGCCCCGCTGCGACTGCTGAAAGCCATTGGCAATAATGAGACGTGCACTGGCAACGCTGGTCCCATGGTACATAGTGTAGACTCCCCGGTTCTGAGGTCTCTGCGACGGCTCTAGCAACACACCAGTAAAAGAGGCACCATCGTCTACCACCTCCCAGCCATAGAATTGCACAGACATCCTGATATAAGAATGGCCTGCAGAGGATGACGAAGATTTGCAGCTGTGAAACACAAGAATGCAATAATTTGTATATTTGATGAGCAAGAAGAAGAAGGAAAAATCATTTTCACTACTAATAACTACGCTCACTACTAGTAACTCACTGCTAACTACTAATAACTAAAGATGACAACATGAACCCCATTAAAACACTTTCAGAACTACCATTTCCTGAATGTTTCTCATTTTTCATGTTCACGTTCACATTCACATACTGTACACCTGTGCAATTATTTTCTCACTTTTAATGTGTCCTCTTCATCCTTTGTTTCATCTTCTCTTACATTTTGCTCTTTTTGTGTATATTTAAAGACTATCTTGCTGTATTTCTTTTATAGCTTTTCGTACCATAGCTTGCTCTTCCCAGTGTACTTCATTCCTTCCTCATATTCTTAGACTAAATCTCTCGTGTGAGCGTAGCTTTCTTCTACAGCATAATTATGTACCCCCATGTAGAAAAAGGCTGTCCCATAACTACTTCATCAATCTAGCTCAAGGCTGATTAACGTTAAAAACGTAAACCTTACCGTAAATACGGAGAAGTTTTGTCTGTTTGTGTCCTTTAACTTTCTGATCAGTAGGTTTCGTTTAAGGTGTTTGATGACGTCACTCAATGGTATGTGTTTTTCACCGTCAGGGCTAGGCCGGTTAGCTCAGTTGGTTAGAGCGTGGTGCTAATAACGCCAAGGTCGCGGGTTCGAGCCCCGTACGGACCACGAGATTTTTATTTCTTCTTTTTTTTATCCTTCAGGTTTCAGACCGCTGAAAGATTGAGGGCTTCACTGACTGATTACTGACGCAACATAATCAATTCATATGAACTCCTGATTATGGGCCGAGCCGAATAACAAAAATCGATAAGTTACTGTCTCATCATGGTTGCTTTTAACATTATTTTAATATCTGTTAGGTCACACCATTATAGATTAATAAAGGAGTGTTGCAGGGTAACGTAAGAGCACAATGAAGTGAACAACATCACGACTAGCCAAATGCATCACGTGGCCCAGCAATGCCCCTGCGTCCACCTCCTACTCAAGCCTCATGTGTGTAGCCGAAATAGCTCAGTTGGGAGAGCGTTAGACTGAAGATCTAAAGGTCCCTGGTTCGATCCCGGGTTTCGGCAGTGTTTTGTATATGCCCCCCAACACCATCACGGGATCAACAATCTAAAAACACTGGTATTATACGATAAACGGAAGTACTCCTGCAGGTGAGGAGGTCTGTAAGATGAAAGTCACTGACATCTGTTTACAGAAACATAAAAACATTTATATATTTAAAAAATACATCCTTTATTAGATAATACTAAAATAATATTCAAAATACACAAGTTTATCAGTGTGATATCATTTAAGTACAATGGTATTTAAAGGTTTTACAGTCAAAACATTGCAAAGTTAAAAATATAGTGAGTTGTGAAAAGGTAGGTATCTTACTGTGAATAGCAGCTCTTGGTGATTTGCTAATATACAGTACTTACTGGATCATTTACCTGGTTTTTAAAGAGAAGGTAGATTAAATACAGTTAAAACAGCAGTGTTTTTTTTTGTTTTAAAGATGAATGTAGTAACACCCAGAGGGTTTTACTTCCAAGCCTTTGATCCAATCTTTTGCTTCAGGATAGGTGTGACAAGAAAAAACAAGTTCCTCTTCAGCGTATGTCACTACTACTTGAGCACCTTGCTGCGGATGTGGCTGATATCCTTCTCAAGCTTCTCCTTGTCAAGGCGAGATTTGATGTCACATATCTGACTCAGTGATTCAATTGCATCATGCACAGACTGGAACCCTATTCAAACAGAGGCAGGGTGCATAAATCATCACTGAACATACAGCATTTGAGGTGAAAATAATTCAGGTCATTGCTGCTGGATGAGGGATGTGCTATGATGGTACTGGAAGGACTTTCCTCCTGTGGGCTCATAACATTAAGTCTTTTAAAACCATCCTAGTTCTAATTATGAAAGCGTACTGCATTCAACATGTCATATTTGTGTTTTATTTTTGATTTAATGACATCCTTCATCTTGCTCTGTCTCCTGTCCCTGTGGTCTCCCGCCCTATTCTATGCTTAATTGCTCCCAATCATTACTTATATTTTTAATACCTAGTTAATTATGTAACAGTACATAGAGCTGATGCATTTTTATTACAGAATGTATTCTAGGAAGTAACAGACTGTGGGGCTGAAAGGCTCCCTTTGAGATATTAAGTATCTTCTCTTTCCAGCTCCATAACTCAATGTCTTTCTTGCCACGAATATTTACAACTCTCATCAATTATGCATTCATTCTCTCATACCATCTCCTTCTTTCTTTTCATCCCACACTTAAAATAGCACAGTGGATGAATGGCTCTGGAGTGCTGTTAGCAGTGGCTGAGTAGTGATTCATAGATCAGTTTACCCATGGTCTTATTTACCAAGGGAAGTTTGGGCACTTTTCTATATGTCTGCTCTTTAATAAGAGCTGTGGAGTGAGAGAGACTGTCAGGAAGGGAGGCAGATGTGAGATCTAGTGTCAGGCATCCTGGGAAATGAGATGAGGATGAATGTCAACAACAGCATGATAGGGAGACGAGCTAGAGTATTTGGCAGGCTAGTTGACTGCCTATTCCTGTGGATTGGCTCGCAGCATACTAGCTGTGTTGTAACTACACATGTGCAGAATAAGATCCTTTATACTACTGTTGTACAGCCAATTATTAGACCACATGATGAGCTGGAAAGCATCCGAGCTGAAATCCTGTTTAACATATCAACACCAAGTCAGTGACTACTGTAATTAAAGGAAAGAATAAACATCTCAATTGTGGTAAAAATAAATGTTGGCTGCCTGGTGGGGTTAATCTCTTATATTCATTTTACGATTACTTATTATAAGTATTTTTCTTTTTTCTTTTCTTTCTATTTTTCAGACTCTTGTGAATTGCTCTCGCATGTCCATTATTTTCCTTGACGTGTATGGTGAAGAACACGCGGTACATGTGTGTTTGCTCTCTGATGACAGCAAGTTACCAGCAGTGATCACCCACCTTTGTGGTACTGCTGTTTGAGCAGCTGCAGCTCCTGATGAAGGTTGTTCTCCACTAAGGTTATTCTTCTGCTAAGTTTGTCTTCTGAGTGTTTCAGCTGATCATGCCGACTGCGGTCAGCCTGGTTCTGCTGGATGTCAAACTTCTCCACACGTGCCTCCAGGGCAAGCAGGTGGTCAGCCAATCTAGACTCCGCCCCTAACTAAGCACAGCATGCACATGAAAATTCAGTTGTAATTAATAAATAAATCATAGCAGAGGTGGGAAGTAATTAACAAAGTACAAATACTTTGTTACTGTACTTAAGTAGAGTAAACAGTGTACTGTCACTGCAGTGGATGGAAATCAGCCAGGACAACTCATGAAACACGTCTTGACATCTGGTTGAATTCAGTTGTATTCATCCACAAAGAGCAGCATTTCAGCTGATCATAGACTACTGGAGCTCTCAATAGGTGAGTTGTGATTCTTTTCCCCACACTGAGCCACTATTACTGACTTTAGGGTTTCCCACACAATGAACCTACCTTTAACCTCTTGCTTACTAATTTTCCTGTTTAGAGGCAAAGTCACCCTCTACAATCTAGGCAACAGAAAAAAGAGCTACTTTTTATTTCCCCTTTTTTCTCTGCTCATGTTCTACTGAGTACCTTTGTTTAGAAAAATTCAACTTACTTCAACTTCACCTTTTACTGGAGTATTTTTCAGCACTGGTATCTGTACTTCTACTTAAGTACAGAATGTCTGTTTACCAAAAGTGTGCCACACCATTGCACCACCAGCACCACCCTGAACCACTGATACGAGACAGGATGGATCCATGATTTATGGGGCAGAATTTGGTGTATACAACACGAATCATATATCTATCCTGTCTCGTATCAGTGGTTCAGGGTGGTGGTGATGCAATGGAGTGACACACTTTTGGCCTCTTTGAGAGACTCACCAGACCACACAACATTTTTTCAATCTCCTATTGTCTGCTTTTAGTGAGTTGTGCAAAGTGTAGCCTCAATTTCCTGTTTACTGACAACCACGCCACGTTCAAAGTCAGCTGAATCACCTTTCTTCCCCATTCTCATGCAGGTCATCTTGACCATGTCAATATACCTAAATATGTAGAATTGAACATGTGTACTTAATGAAGTTTTCAGTGAGTGTACATGTCAAACATTTTTCAACCATTATGTATATTGTACCATTTTGTCTTGTAATAGTGAAACCAGCTCCTGGTTGTCCTTGACATGTGACTGGAGAGAGCTCTTGAGCTGTTGTTCTGTCCAGGTCCTCAATTTTGCTGTTTGCTCCTTGCCCTCGTCAAGCTCTCCTGTCATTCTGCAAAGACACAAGGAATACAAAGTGAACTGTAATAGCTTTACTTCTTTACATTTAGGTAAAGACTTTTCATTATAAATGTCTTAGGATCTAAATGTTTACACAGTCTTGCAACTTTCAAGGACATAGCAGTTCTTTTCTGCTAGTTTAGCCCTACAGGAAATAAAGTTTGTGTCTATTTAGAAAACCAATGCTTTATTGGCACTTCCACTTCTACTAAATAGCTTTCGAGTAAAAATGTGTGATTGTGTGATTGAGAATGAAAGTACTAAATTAATAATTTGTAACCCGTAAGTTTACTATAAAAGGAACATGCTTTAGGTTTAACAGTTAAAAAGTCAGTGTTCATAATTTCACAGTCTGGTAATCAGACGTGAGATTTCATCAGCAACAGTGCTTCTTGTTTTGCTTAATGTCACGTCAAGCTCACCACTGAGAAACACCAAAACAGCAGTGTGAAAAACAGTGGTGGGAAATTTTGTGCTCTGTAGCTCTGAATGCTGTACTTGTATTTGGACCATATAAATGTTTCTCTCTTTGTAATATCTGGGGATGTGGTCACTGAAAGCTGCATGTGGTTCTCATGTGATGAACAGTACTGAAATGTTTCTGATGGAAGCTGCAACCAAACTGAATGAAATATTGTGTGGGCTGTGTAATACTATAGGACTCAAAAAGCAAGTATCTCGAGACCTTCTTTAGTCTTATTCCTCTTGTCTAAAGTGTCCTTGAGACAATCAGTAGACACTCGCCTGTGTGTCACTGGTGCAAATAATTTTTTCCGTACAGGTGTGACAAAACTGCACTCCGTTATCATTCTAGCTGCCTAATGCAGTTCACGTTGACACTAGACAACATGACAATTGGCTTGGCTCTTGTTAGATAAGTTTTCAGATGTCCCTGCATCGCCACATCCAGCGGACACTTGATCTCATCACTTAAAAAACAAAGGTCATCCTGACTGACTACCTTCTTGAGACTAATGAGGCCTTTAATGCCTAAACTGCATCTAAGAAAATCTCCCAGCAAGTGTGGCTCAGTGTAGTCATACATGAGACAGTCAGAACAAAAAGAACCAATGACATCTAGGATTCAAAATCCAATAAACTCTCTTTGTAGACTGAACATTAATTAAAAAAAAAAAAAAAATCTTTCTGACATCAGCAGTGCCTACTTTCAAAAAACATGACCTGGCCACTTAAAAACGAAAAAACTAATTAGGTTGAGTAACGTGTAGACAACATCACTCGGTATGTTTCATCTTTTTCAGCTCTATCCATCAATGGTCAAGCACAGCCTAGGTGGGTGGATGGATATATAATATATTAAATCTATAATCCAAATAAAATAAAGGAAGCCTCTTTTTTTTTTTTTTTTGCTTGTTTTCAACATTATTATTGTGACGCATTTCAGAAACACAAAAATCGCCTATTTTTATCTGTTCTTTTGGCTCTAATATGATCAGTGGGCTGCTTTCCATTGCAGGTACAACATTATTAAATAGAACATATCTATCATTCGCGTCTCTCTGTTTCTAAAATGTTTATATATTGCTTCCATTTGACATTGTTTCTCAGATGGAATAGCAAATGGACAACAAGCTTTCACCATTATTGTGCCTCCTGCATTAATATTTCAGGGTGAATGTGGCTTGGGAATGTGTAGCCTTGGAGCAGCTGTAACTACAGTTGGGAGTGGTTGTAGGTAAGAATTTATGTTGGTGTTTTGAGGAACACTATTAAACAGCAAATCAACTAAGAAAGTTATCAACTTTTCACAGTAGCTGCCAGAAAATGCATGATCAGCAGCTAAATTCATGGAATGACCTGGTGCAGTGTTGGGTGTCTCCAGGAATCATAAGGAATCATGATTAACAGTCTTACTTGTCTTCTAATAGCTTAACTTGTCTACGCAGATCAGACATCGAGTGTTTTAGGTCCTTAGAAGACTTTGTCAGTGAGGCCTCCAGTCTTCTAAGCTCAACATGAATCTGGTGACAAGAAAACACACAAACATAATCTGTCATACCACGATGGACCGTCTTTTATCGTCAGCTTTGTTTCTGACCTTTACCCCTTTGTGTTTTCTGCTTTGCTGAGCAGACTGTGCTATGCACCACTCCTGTGGCCACTCATGACTGAGAGTTACACCGGTGACCCACTTTGTATGCGTTTTCAATTATTTTTATGGTAGGCGCTTGACCACTGGCCCACAGCTAATGCGCTGTCATCACAGTGATTTACCACCCCATACCACCAACACAACTGAAGGCTGGCTGCATCAGTGTTGAAGGCACTTTTGGTTGCTTTAGGTCAAGTAAAAAGCATTATAATATGTGACATACTTATCGTAATCCAGGGTTTTCATATTTTCTATTATGCTGACCTTGTCAAAAAAAAAAGGTAGGGTGTGGGCGGGAGGTGTAGATGGGGTTGGGGTGAACGCTTTTTTTATGACGACCTTGACATCCCATTTTAATTTATTTCCCATCTCATTTCTTTCTTTCAAACTCTGGTTATGACTGAGCCTCTGAGTTTGTTTGATAAGGTCAAACTCACTCAGCAGCAGTAAGCTCCAAATGTCATCCCATCACAGCTCAGCTAGCCATCCTCTCTCGGATAAACAGCAGAATATACTCACTGGGCCACTTTGTTAGGTACACCTGTTTAACTGCTTGTTAACTTAGTGGATTTAAGTATGTGGATGTGGTCAAAATGACGAGCTGAAACTAAATATTTGGGATGAAAGGTTATTTAAGCGACTTTGAACATGATATGATTGCTAGTGCCAGGTTGGCCTGGTCGTTTAAGAAACTGCTGATCTACTGGGATTTTCCTGCACAACCTTCTCTAGGGTTAGGGTTAAGATGACCTGAAAAGGAGAAAATATCCAGTGAGTGGCAGTTCTTAGGGTGAAAATGGCTTGTTGATGCCAAGCGTCAGAGGAGAATGGCCTAAAAGCTTCAGGCTGCTAAGAAAGCAACCTGAAGTCAAATAACCACTTTCTATATCCAAGATATACAGAAGTTCATCTCTGAACATAGGACATGAAACATTGAAGCCGATGGGCTACAGCAGCAGAAGACCACAAAATGAACCTCTCCACCTACAATTTGCCTGGACTCACCAAAACTGCACAACTGAAGATGTTGCCTGGTCTGATGAACCTGCAATTGCTGTATTCAAAAGTTATGGTCATCATTTGGCGCAAACAGGATGAAAAGATGGATCTGTCCCGCCTTTTATCAGCAGTTCAGACTGCTGGTGATGATGGTGTGATGATGAGTGAGTATTTTCTTGTTTGCTTTGGGCCTCTTAGTACCAGATGAGTATTGTTTGGACACCACAGCCTATGCGAATATTGGCCTCCACAATCAGGAGAGCACCTTTTGTATGATGCAGAATAAGAGATTCAAAGCATGGATGTGCAGCAGACATATCTGTAGCAACCGTGAAATACTATCATGTCAATATGGACCAAATTCTCCAAGGAGGTTTTCTTGCTCCTTGCTTAATCTATGCCACAAAAAATTCAGGCACCTCTGAAGTCAAAAGGAGGCCCAACCCAGTACTAGCAAGGTGTACCTAATGAAGTGTACAGTGCAGATAAATAATGTTTATATTCCCAGATTATGATCCTTTCCATGCATCAAGCTTTCAAATAAACACAACCTCTCTCTACAAATGTAAAAAAATAATAATGATAATAACAAAACAGTACATTATCCTTTAGTTTGGGAATAGAGAATTCAAATGAATGAATGAATATTGTGTTGAGCGTGTGCTTAGATAGAGGAGATGCAAGGGGTAATGATCATGAATGCCAGTTCATGCCAGTATGCTATCATACTGGAGAATAATGCTTTTGATGGCATCAATGTCACAGAGACAAAAAAAGAACCTAAATATGGCAAATACATGTTACAATATTAACTTATGACTTGTGAAAACTCTTATTGGGGCACTGGTGTAGTAGTGCACAGTGCAAAGTTTTGCTCAACTGCTCTCTTAACTCCTTTTCTGCTAAACCCTTGTCAGCATGCATACGTTTTTTTCCCCACCTTGTCCTCCAGCTCTTTGAGCTGTCCATTCACAGCTTCGCTGAGCTCTCGAACCTCCCTCTGCAGTCTGATCACCCGCTGCTCTCTGAAGCTCACGTCAGCGCTCAGCTTGGCAATGCTGGAATCACACCTGCGACAATAGGTGGGGAAGAACAGAGAGCTGGTGAGAGACCATTGAATGAGAAAAATAGGATTGAAGGGAGTTTGGGGAAGGTGTGAAGACAGAGGGATGAGCAAAAGACTAGAAAAAAAAAAGAAGTTCTATATTAGAACCACAAAAGGAAGGAAGGAAAAAATGTTACACTGCTGCTGTTATCAATTTGCAAGGCAAGATCATGAAATAAATAAGAAGAAGAGGCTCTGGTAAAACCTTAGCAGTGAGGATGGTTAATCTGAACACATTTCAGTGGTCACTTGTTTGCATCTACTAATGACTCACTGGTACAAAGACGCTCCCACCCACCCAAAAAAACTATGAGAATAAATTAACCCTCTCAAGGCAGACGTTGCCGATTTGCAACAGTTAAAAACTAACAACCTGATTACCCCACACACATATTTTATGAGTTTTTTTTACTCAGAAAACTTAATTTGAGCGGGTTGAGAGGGTTAAGTGAGAAATCTCTTTATCACCAAAAGCAATTAGGACGTTGCAAAAACACAACTTACAGCCTCCGACTTGGAAAATGTTGCTTTTAGCAAACTTTGAATTCAGTTGAAGTGATAAGTATCAACTGCAGCAACTCTTTTAATCAGCATGGCAGTACAGCTTCCTTCCTTTCATTGCTTGGTTCAAGATGTCAGCCTGTTAAGGCTTTCTCTTACGGCTTTATTGGGCCTGCCTGTGTAAGTGCGTGTCTTTAAAGTATTTGTGATGAACGATTGATCTGAAATTTGAGTTTTTTCCCTGGAGACCAGTCCAGTGCTTCTCTTAATGGCTTCACTAACCAGTGCCAACCAACACAAAAACCACTGACCCTTAGCTTACCTTATTAATTATGAACAACATGAAAGAGGCTATCACACTGACCACTTGTTTTTCTTCTTCTCTCTTTATTGGACCCTGCATCAGCCCCATTTCCACCCCCTGAAATCTCACTGATATGCCTGCTTTGTAAATGACATATCTTTGTCTTCTATCTCTTTACACATGAAATGCACTGATCAGTGGATGCCAGAAGTGTTAGAAATAATTAGGTCTAGGCAACTACACATCAAAAGGCCAATCACAATATATGTGAGATGACAGACACTTTTCAGCAATCCAGTGCAGTAAGTGTGATGTGCACAGAATCACAGAATAATGAACAAGTGCTAATCAGCATCTAAAGCGCATTTAAACCTGGGAACCTCACCCAGGTGGGAACAAAATAATTGCATCTGTGCATGTCTGTGTGTATGCCAGGACTGATTTGAGGTTGTGCAATGGCGGAGAGTTGTTAGACAGAATGAAGGCTAAACAATTTCACTTCATTAGTGAGTGAGAAAAACACGGGTATCAGCGAGGGACGTCAGATCACTCCAGTGAATCTAAATAATGCCTTCTTGTTTCCTTCACTTGCTGTGCAGTTTGTACCTCAGCATTTGAAAGCAATGTCTGACTCAGGACTCACACAGTGCCTACCTGGCTACTCTTCCTCTCAGGTCTCCGACGCCAGCTGTGTTTTTCTGGTCCATGTTTTGAACAGCGTGTGCCACTCCAGAGGTGACAGAGTCCCGCTGGGCCATCTCTTTCTCTAATCCCTTTACCCAGAACAAAGACAGCATGTTTCACATTTGTTAAAAAAAATATGTGACTGTTTCCCCAGCAAATTAAGTGAAAAACCAGATGAGGAAGTGCATGATTTGTTTGGAAAGTACCAGCAGAAAGCTTCGGATTTGAACTAATTATGCAGCATTCCATGCCATCAGGATAAACATTGAATGCAAACGACACGTCCTTCGCTACAAAAGCTCACTTAAAACTGGCAGAATTTCATCAGTGCACTTGCATGACTGATTGCTGTATAGGCTGCATGTGTAAAATAACCTCAAATCAAATGGATTACCCTCTGGCATTATCATGAAAGCAAACAGTGTGACTGTGTGATGTGGCTTACATTTGATTTTGCAAAGTATTCAGTCCTTTACTTAGTTGATTGCTTCTTGATTTGCAGGATTAATTAGTTTGTTGGCCTTCATGTAATATTTCAAACGATGATAGCCTCTAATCATGCTAATGGCCCATTTGGTATACACTAATGAAACTGAATGTTTCATTCCGGTGCCCTACTTCTGTAAGGCAGCTCTCAGAGTGTGGTTTGATGTTCTGCTCAGTGAAAGATGACTCCAAACACCCTCACACTTGTTCCGCGAGACTAAGACCCGTGTACTCTTTTGCAGTTCTTCTGCTTGACTGTCAGGAGAATAGCTGTTAGAATGCATAACTTGAGAGTATTTAGTTAACCACATACTGTGCACATGATCACTGTATGCTTATACAGACAAAATGTGCATGAGCTGATGATGGCGAGAAGTCAAGTAGGCTTTATTTGAGCACTGCACCATTCTATCAGGTGTAATCAAATCAGCTGGGAGTTTGTGGGCATGAGTCGGCGTGGGTGTGCTGCACATCAAACAATACAAGGAGCTCTTCTCCTTGTAATGTTTGAAAGAACAGCCAGAAAAGGAGACAATCAGCACATATGCTTGACTTCACCCACCTAAAAGACGTACAGCATATTCCACACAAAACAAGAAAAAGACTTACACAATACTTTAATACCTAAACATGCACGCAACAGCACTTTCCACAACTTACTTCCACCACCTTGCATACCTGTATGCCCATGCTGAGTTGTTTAACAATACGTGTAATGGTGAGTATGTGATTCTCCAACAGCTTGCGGGACAGTGCCTCAATTTGGACGGAGCCATGGCTGGACTGCAGACCAGCTGTCACCTCCTCTTTGATTCTGAGAGCTTGTTCTAGCAGCACAGCTAGCGGCCTATCCTGACCCCTCAAACGACCTTCCAAGACATCTGGCCTTAATCGGGAAGTAAACAAAAAAATATCAAGCTTATAATGTTTTAGAAGCTCTTTATTGGGGTTTTTAGTATTTAGAAGATGCAAAAACATGTGTTGCAAATATTGCAAAGTCATGTTGAAGAAGAAAAAAGTCATTTTAAAGTGCAATTCTACAAAGAGTTGATCTACTAAGAGAGAGAATGAAGATGGATTGAAATGTTGTACATTGGTTTTCATGCCCTTGGGTTCTGTCTTCATGTCCCTGTGCATGCTGTGTTGGACCTGTCTGAGGCTGTTGTGGATTAAGGATTAATTTTATCAGTTTGATTCACAGCGGTGTTCGAAAGGTTCACAACCTTAATTCAATCCCATCAGCGAGCGGTCGACGCACATCTTATTCACCTCTTAAGCGCAGATCGGATTTTAAACTGAATTAGCAACCCACACAAATTGAAAGTGAAAAGTAAATGACTGCAATACACTGAATGTATGCACTGAATACAGATATGTGAATGAGAAAGGTTACCTTGTGTGACTCTGTGTGTCAGACTGATGATGAGACATCCTTACTGTCTACAAAGAGATATGTATTAAATATATTAGTGTGATAGTTTCCACTCAAATATCCTCCGTATCATTCTTTTTGTTAAAATAAGCATATTATATATTTTATCTTTCACTGGGAGCATCACGAGACATTTTGATCATTTTGATAAAGACGTTAAACAAATGTTGCTAATTTTTTATTTGTCATATAAGAATACTCACAGGTCTGTGCTGTTCTTCAGCCAGCTTTAGAGATTATGTGTTTGTGTTGTCACTTGGTAACTGTGGTCTCCTTTCATGGGGGTGTGCCTGCCTGCCAGTGTGAACAGTCTTGCAAAAAAAAAAAAAAATGCATTGTCTATGTGGCGAGGCAGTTTAACTCTGCAAAATATTTGATGACCAGAAAGCGTGAACATAGTTGTAATTCGTAGAAATGTTGCAGAGAAACTTGTCAGCCTTCTTAGCAGCAGTTCTCGTGACAACATACCTCAAAACACCAGCTTTTAAAAAAGCAGTTAATGAGATAACCTAATACCCTTTTCAGTTTTTTGTTGTTATTTTTCATCACAACTTTGATCGTTTGTATTGCCTTCAAATATTGCATTTGACACTCCAGTTCCCTGAAGTTTGTCTTACTGTATTATGCTAATAGTTTAAAATACAGTTTAATCCAGGCTCTTTGCGCTGGACCACGGAAGTGCATCATTAAAGCTCCTCTCTATTAGTACAAGCCAGAAAATGCTTATCGTGGAGAGCTTTAAATAAAGCTTAGGGTGAGCAATGACTGTATAAATACAAATGCTCTGTAATTTAATTAAAATCCAGAGTCACTGAATCCCTTTATTACACTGATAAAAGTAAGACAGACTCCCCCATGGATTGCTTGGATTTGCTTGTTCCTGTGGGAACAAGGGTGGCAGACATGTTTTTTGATTGGAAACACTTCAAATTAAATAAAAAAGCAAGCTCAGTCCTTTGTGGCTTCTTCGGTGAAGCACTTAACCTTAATTTATTAAAGGGCTACCAACAACGAGTAACCGCTTGTACCAGATAGGTCAAGTTCTAGACTGAGCCTGGGGAAAAAAAATAAGAGATTATTTGTACAAGGCATACTCAATGATAGCAAACAGACTAAATTTAAAGGCTTGACCTAACCCTAAGTATTTTGATTCAGGTGAACAGATTGGATCTCTGCTTCGTTTAATCACAGGATACACTGTGTTTCAAGTGTGGTAGTGGCTCTGAATTACATGTAGTTATACTCATGAAATATCTTGATACTGATCTCATGGCCATTGATCAGTGGTCTTTGATCAGTGGGTTTTGGTCAGTGGTTGTTGATCAATGGTCATAAGAATTTGCATAATTATGATTAAGGAACTGACCTCACAGCCCATTGTTCCTTCAGTGGGCTGGTTTCAGTCATTATGCAAATGTACTGTTTATAAGATTGGGGAATCCTGCAGTCAGCTGAGACTGAAGAAGTCACTACGCTACGTCCAGATGAACAGAATCAACTTTTGGAGATACTCATGAAATAAAATATTTTTAAATGTCTATATATCTCTCTCCCTCTCTGTTACACACACACACAGTGGATTAGTCTCTTATCAATGGGATCAAGGTCATTAAGAGGAAAGGCCTTCTCAGAGCAGACTCATCAGTTTTCCATGGAAGCCCTATAGAAAAGCCTGGGAGCTGAAAGGGACAGTTTGGCTTACACCACGATTTACTTAACTTAAAGAGACGTTGAGAGCATTTCACCATCCTGTTAGCTGTAAATGAAAAGGGTTCATTTTGGGAGATAACAGAAATTTCAAGCAAAGAGAACCTGAATTCATCGCACAGCACTAAAGACTGATGATAATTTTCCGATTAATCCGTGTTCTTCATTCTTACTGTCTCTGTGTGTTTGTTTCTAAGAGAGAGAGGACAGTGTTAAACAGGAGGGCAGAGAACAGCCAGCGCTGAAACAAGGGCCGGGGGGTGGGAGACGTAATGAGTTATTATACATCAGCGCAGCTACTAAAGAGAGAACTGAGAGAGGGGAGGCTGCTCAGTGATGCCTGCTCCCTGCTGCACGTGGGTGATAACATTCAGCGAAACATATCCAGACTTGCTTAAACAGCGCGAGACCATCCATGTGACAAAAGGGACATCAAGTCTCTGTCTGCACAGCTTTCCCAAGGTCAAAAAAGTGCACGTATGATAAAGTACTGAAATACAAAGATATGAACTCAGATGGGAATGACATGGGACCCACAATTAAATTATAAACATCTCCACGAGGCACTGTGGGGTACTGTTATGCAATCACCAGCATACAGATTACCCAGTCAAGTGACACGGTTGGCCAGAGGGCGGCGTGGTGCAGCTTCGTCCTTCATTTGAATACAATAATTAATGGGTAAGTTTGCCTAACCCCTGGTTAAACACTGTGGACGAGAGTCAAAGAAAAGCGGGCGAATAATTTTAAAATCTCTTACGCAATCGCGATTAAGTCACAACACGAGCTCCAACTTTCATCGCTGAGGTGAGATATCTTAAATCTTACATGAATTCTTGCCTTCCTTCTAACTAGCCCACTGCACAGTGGGACATAAAAATTTACAGAGTAGTCTGCAGAGGCATTCTGCAAGGTTCGCAGGAAGATTGACACCCTCCTTCATCGTCGCACAGCGCGTTTCGTTCTTGGCGCTCTAAAAACTGATCATCAGTGGAAGTGCACCCGAGCCGCAGCTGCCCAACTGTGACATCCGTCCACTATACAGAGTGTGCTCAGGCTGGCTGGCTGCTGCACAGGCACAATGGAGCAAAAATCACCGAAACACGAGAGCACTGCCAAGGGACAAGAGTCCTTGTCCTACCAGCGGAGAATGTGGAAGAATTTCCAGGAAAAAACCAAGCCGTGGCTGAGCCCGAAACTGGGATCAGAGCGTCGTGGTGCCGGGGGCGCGGAGGGCAGCAAGAAGGAATCGGGGCTTTGGATGTTTAAGAGAAAAAAGAAACAGCTGGACCGGGTATTTTCGTCGTCGCAGCCGAACCTATGCTGCTCTACCCCGGCACCTTTTGAGGGAGACAAGGCTCTCGGAAGCGATGCGGTTCCTGGGACCAGCAGCGGCGGACAGCCTCTGCTACAGCCTCTTGGCACGGCTTCTGGGGCCACGGGGAGCAAACCAGAGCTCACGGCGCACGGAAGCCCAAAACTCCCGATGTCCCAGCTGATGGTGTACCAGCAGAAGAGCTCCTCTCTCGGCTCAGCGTGCTTCGAGAAGCTGGTGGTGGATCCGGCCGCTGTGACGGGAGAGGAGGAGCAGCTGCGTAAAAACGCAAGTGATTCTGTGAGTAAAGACTCGTGTAGTCCCAAACGCACATAGCAGCTTTTCTGTTGTCGTACTGTTTTTTCCTCTTTCCCCCCAAAGACTGAAAAGAGAAGACAGCAGGCAAGACTTTATTGATTTGCTAATTCAATAAACAAAACAAGTTTCATGATTGTGCTGATGCGATGTCCCACTGCCCCTATGCACTCATCGGTTTCCAGTCCGCTGATTTCTTTACTGTCTCCACCATCGAGGACTGTATTGGCCAAATATATACATCCAGTTTCGTTGTAGATTTATGTGGTGATCATAAACAACCGCCCACCTTACAAGCTAATTTGTTTGGTATCATTTTATCATCACAGTTTCTCCATATACGTCGAGCAGATCAGCTGATTTCAGTTTCAAGTCTTTCCTGGTAGGGTTTTTAAAAAGACAGCATGCTCTGATGCCATTGGCTTTGTTTAGCCTGCGCACAAACGTTTCTTCCAGAGGGACTGTCCCCTAGACTCACGACCATCTGTCTCAGTGTCCTTGCCTTTAGACAGAGGCTGCAACAGGCCCATGCATGCCCACAGGTTCATCCTGTCTTTTTTGTTTTCATGAAAAGTGGCTGGTTGTCAAACCAGCGGCACTGCTGGAGATTGATGGCAGGTATATTCCCACACCACACATCATGCTGAGTCAGGGTGCCCCAAGAGAAACCATATGCCAGCAAGCATGAAGGCTAATGGTAACGATTGCATTCACAAAAATCATTCAGCCCAAAACATCAGAGAGAAAACTTCAAGTTTTTAAGTTTCAGTTTCAGTCAAATAAAATGGAATGTCATTTTCAAGTTATGTTGTCATAATATTAAATCTCATGAGAACAACACTAAAGATACAGCATGCATAAAATCATATAGGCACATTTTCTTTCGCTTGCTCCAAAGCTTTTCATCTCATCATCTTTGAAGTGCTCCAGACTTTCTGAACATCATCCAGATTGCTTTCTGAAAGTGATTAAGCACATTAGCACACGTTTCCCTACAGAGGTTGGCAAAAGCTCTGTTATCCATTAAATCTGTATAGGAAAAGTGCACCATGCTCAGCTATAGAGGTAAATGAAAGAATGCAGTGACTTCATTGAAATTGATCTTACAGCTTCGTCAATAAGCCTTTCAGTTACATAATGTGGAGAAATGTCATTTTGCCAAATAAAGTTGCCGCATTCAAGCATTAGTTACTTCCTATCGCTGCCATCTTTATCCAAGTTCTTTTGTTCACTTGTTGGCCCTTTCCTTTGCCCGAGAAGAAAGCAGTGGCATAATCTTCCGAGGTTATAGTGCAGCGTTATTGTTCTGTCTTATTAGTTTTACTGTATACCTCTCTACCAAATAGAGTACATAGTGCATGATCTGGATCTAATAGTGGAACCAGGAATGGAAAAAAGTGCAACATGAGATGATGGGTGATGAAAGGAAGTAAAGGTAATGAAGACAGATCTAATGGGGTTACAGGTAATGAGACATGACTAGGGGATGAGTTGAGACCACATCAGATAAGATGATATGAAGTGGGAAAAGAGCAGATTAAGATGAGATGCGAACAAGTGAAGAGACAGGAGATGAGGACAGATGAAGTAGGATTAGGTTTGCTTCTTTAATACCTGAGGGTAAAATAGTTAAAAACAAAAAACACACTGACAAATAATCTAGCTTTGCATCATCATGCATTTGCACGTGCATTTCCGTGCATACACCCTGATTGCACAGGTTTGATGATGCATTTGTGTTTCCTCAGCCAACAGAAAATGTGACACTAAAAAAATGTACTTTTACTGTTAGAATAAGTATTCTAGCTAGCATTTCATAAATGAAATAAGAGAATATGTAACATGAAAATTCATTTTGTAATTTGATTTGGAAAGTGAGAGATGAAAGGGATTGCTGCCAAGCTCTGTAAGTAATTTCATTGTTGACTCAAGTGCATTTGACTTTGCTGTTTTCAATGCAGTGGAGAGGTTTGTGAAAGTTTTTCTATATGTGCGCGCAGTGGCTGCAGTCAAACATGACTGATATTTGTGACATTACATTTCAGCGCCCTTTACATTATATTCATTTATGTTTTTTTAAACATATCTATGAATTGTGATTTTACTTTTTCCTCTTTCATTCCATCTGCACTCACTGGGTTGGCACTGGGTTGGTCCATATTAACATGACACGACAGTTGGTGAGGATTTGTTGGCTGCACATCCATGATGTGAAACTCCTGTTTCGTCACATCACAGAGGTGCTCTGTTGGATTGAGATCTGGAGGCCATGGAGACCAGCTGAACACAGTAAACTCATTGTTATCTACAAGAAACCAGCTTGAGATTATTTGAGCTCTGTGATATGGTGTGTTATATGTTGGAAGCAACCACGAAAAGATGGGAACATTGTTGTAATAAAGGAATGGACGTGGTGTGCAATGATACACTGGTAGGCTGTGGTGTTTAAATGATGCTCCACTGGTACTAAAATACAAAGAATGTCTCAGACATCCTCCTCAATATTACACCACCACCTGAACATTGATAGAATGCTTTTATGAAGATCAGCCACTGTCTTTCTAATCTTCTGTTGTCTAATTTTGGGGATCCTGCTGTAGCCTCAGTTTCCTGTTCTTAGCTGACTGGAGAGACTTGGTGTGGTTTTCTGCTGCTGTAGCCCATCTGCTTTAAGGTTCAGCATGCGGTGCATTCAGAGCTAAAAGTCAGCACACCTTGGTTGTAACATGTGGTTATTTGAATTACTGTTGCCTTTCACTTTGAAACAGCGTGACCATTTTTCTCTAACCTCTCATTCAACAAGCTGTTTTTACCCAGAGACCTTCTGTTGACTTTTCAATCATTTTCTGTAAACTCTATCTTGACTGTGTCTACATTCCTAAATGCACTTAGTTGCTTGTATGTGGCAGGTCATTAATATATTTGCATTAACAAGGAGTGCAGCAGTTGTACCTAATGAACAGATCAGTGAGTGTATATCCTAATAGGGTTTGATAGATTTAGATGTTTCTTGTATGTATGTGTGTTTGAACTGAAGCAAATGGGTCATCGTTAACTAAGTCACTAAGTCAACTAACTCATTAACTTAAAGCGTGTTGGTATTCCTGCTGCTTTTTGCCCGTTTGTCACAGCAAAAGGCAGCAGAAAACACTTGTGCTTACATCACATTTTTTTAAACTTCTTCCTTCCTTTTATAGATATGTGCTTTAGTAGTCCTTGACTGATGCGGTCATGTTTCTAACCTTCAGTCTTGCAGAGTAACCTTTCACTCATTACCTGACTGAGCGGCAAGAAGCCTGATGTCAAGTACAAAATAATAATATTGACTGGTATGACTCAGGATTTGTGTATATTGTATTCGAATCTGATCTGAAAGTAAAACATAAGATGGAGCAATTAGAAACAAATAAAAAAATCCCAAATCATCTGATTAAAAACTCAAAGAATACATTTTAATGTTTTGAGAATAAGAAGGTACTCCAAATTTATATTTTTCAGAAAGTGCTTGTAGTCCTCATGTGATTCAGTTGTTTGATTTCCATTTAAAAGGAAATCTGTATACAAAGCGTTTTGGAAAATGCAATCTTAAAAGTGTGTACTTGTGTGAAAATAAAACATAAATGACATTGTAGAAATAAAGCATCTTAAATTTTTGCCCGTCTGTCTGTCTGTCTGTATTATTATGTGAAAACTAGCTCTCAATGTGAAGTAGGGATAAAAGTATATGTCACAAGTTTGTACTAATACATTTTTAATCCTGACCTCCCTACTCTTCTCTCTTCCCTCACCCTCGAAACCAGCTGTAGCACATGGCTGCCCAACCTGTAGCCTAACTCTGCTGCATGTGTCTTCCTGTTAAAAGGGAGTTCTTACTTCCCACGGCCGCTAAATGCTTGCTCATAGGTTGCTTTTACAATTATTTTTTCACTACATTTAGCTCCATCATTCTGCATCCATCATATGTTTATCTCTCATGTCACTTGAAGTGTTGCTGTCTGTGGTATTGTACTGTAGTTGTCATAAGTCATCTGTGTATTGTGGCCAAAGTAGTTTGTGACCCAGGTGTGGTAAACATTAAAACAAATGTTGTAGCTCTCCCCTCAGCTTGTTTTACTTGTTTATTATGTATAAACTTAACATCTAATTCAAGATCAACTGAGACATATTTCATTAAAACACTCTTTTTGTTGCTACTCAGACACTCACTGCTCCTTCTACTTCCACTTCTCAGTCACAACCAGAGACTACATCGTGACTTTTTTCTCTTTGCACTCTCCTTTCCTCTGCTCAGCTCATATGTAGTACTTTAAAATATTTAACACTTACCAACCATGGAAGTGGCTTTTGTGTCACAGATTGCCGTCACAGCTTACTGCGTAATATAGCTGATGTAAAACAAGTTCCGGGTATTTGTATTGATGAAATCTGTCAGATAATGTTAACCATATCTTTTAAGTGCTTTAAAATGTTCTTAACTTTACATGTAGTGTTAAAAAGTAAGTTAGGCAATCTTTTTAAACATTTAGCTTGCTCTTCCAAGTAGCTAACTAAAATCAAAATCTTGCAGACTGATCTTGTCCAGAAATATAAGAAACTGTAACTCTGGGGTAATTTTATCTATTGTCCTGATTTGCTAATGCACCGACTGTGAAATGAGCTATGTTTGGATGTCCTGTAGGAATAAGTGCATGGCTAGTGGTCGTCTTCTGAGTAGTGTTGTGAGAGCAGAATCACGGGCACTTGGAAACAGCCCATGGCCTCGTTCTTAAAGTGTCTTGACAGCAGCTTAAATCAGGATTCATTGCAGCCCGGGGGGATCATCGGTTGTAACAGACACATGATTGATGCTGACCGCAAAGACGCCTTGGCACTGTGAAGTGAGGGAAAAAAAACAAAACATTTTCACGTTGACAAAAGACTGACACCATCTGGAAATGTTGATGAGGTTTCCTTCTCCACTTTGCGATTGAGTGTGTTGAAGTGCC